ACTCTTTCCATAATACTTAGAGATTGAGTTGAGAGATTTATGAGGGCTGTTCCTGTAATATATGATCAGAAGTTTTGTGGGAATTGCACTGTTGTGATTTGTTTTATCGCATACCTTTTCTTTATGTCAATGGTGTATTAGGGAAATCATAGTCATGGTCACATCTGGTTGCGGAAACTTGAGCTGTGGCTTTTAATACAATTCTGTGCCTTATACGTGGCAGGAACATCTCAGCCCGTTTTCCAATGCCTCAGGATTCAAGCTAATGGTTTAAGTCTTAAAATGCTTTATTAGTCCACCACCCTGTCTTTGTTTGAGTTGGTGACCAACTGATCATCTGACTAATGGTTGTAGATCAAACATACTCTTGCTGGCGAGCTGGAAAATTGACGATGTTTTTTTTTGTTCTTCAGTTGTTTTCAGTTTGTTTGAATATTGATATTTTGGCATGAGCAGAACTTCTGATTGCAGGACGGATTATGTTGAAAACTGCTCGTTGGGAGTACAGGACTCGGCCCATTTATGGATGGGGTAGTGTTGGGTCTAAGCAAAATTCTACTGCAGGTTGGCTTGCTGCTTTACCTGTATTCGAGCCATTTGGTATCCTGAAATATCAGCAGAGCCAACAGTGCTCACAATTTTAACAAGCTGGGATCATTAACACATGTCATGATGTTTACTGGTGCAGATTGGAGTACATTCTGATGGTATTTTCAATGAATTTGTGTTGTGAATTGGGAAATTTCTCCATGGGGTTACTGGCGCATGTCTGCAGAGAACGAGAAACACTTGGTAGTAAACTGTTAAAACAATCTCTTCTTTCCTTGTGCTAGACTGCTAGTGCTAATAGTCTCACTTTATAAAACCTCTCAATATAATCACTGTAAATTCTGGTATTGTTTTCTGCTTGAATGAATGAAGTTTAAAATCAGGATTCACGAAGCACTAGCAAATCCATGTATTACAGAAAGTCTCAAGTCTTGTTTGGAAAAAGACACTGGATGTATAGGGCGGCACTGTTATTAGAGGTGTAAGATGTTGCTTCTTGTCAGGTTGAATTGGAGGCAAGAGCAAAGGATTTGGGAACACCTATACTTGCTCCAACAGTGGAAGCTGGCCTTGCTCCAGCTTGTATAGATACATGTTCTAGTGTTCTGAAATTGCAGATGTGGAAGCGCAGACAGGACGGAACTAGGGGAAAGGTACATGTTATTAATCATACCAAAATATCTGTCTGTTTATCAAATTGTGTGTAGTAACTTTCAGTTTTCCAATTCGGCTACATGATTCTAACCTCAGCAATCATCTTTCTGTGGCATCAATAATCAACTGGCTATGAGACATGAGATCAAGAACTCTAAATCTTAGTTGTACAAACATGATTCGACATGAACATTCACCCGTATTCACCACTGATAGTTTGCAGAAGGTTGTCCCTTTTTTGCTCACATTTTGGGATAAGATATTCTTTTTCTTTTAAACTTCGTTGTATTACGTAATTTTGAAAGTTACGAGTGACATGGCTGGATGCAGTTTACAATTCTGTTCCATTCTTCAAGCCCCCTAGTTTATAGTCAGTTGACTCGTGCTTTCGTTCCACCAAAGGAATCCCCTTTTCACAACTTGAAATAGAAAAAGAAAAATGGTAGAGTGCGCGTGGGACGGCTTGCATGATCCTGAGGATCGGTCTGGCCAAATGCTATGGATATCATTGTTATCCGAGAAGCAAATCTATATACATGGCTTTGAATGTAATCTCTAAATGTTGAAATGATTTGCTTTCACTAATTAATAAATGATTATTATATAAGTTTCTTTAGATTGTTAATTTATTACTTTATCCAAATTAAATAAAAAATAGTTAAATTTATTTTATTTAATATAATATAATTATTTTTGTAATTATCTAGTTTGTTTGGATAAATTATATATTAAATTTGAATAAGTTTTATTAAACAAAAAATAAATATAAGTTATTTAAAGATAATTATCAAAAAAATTTAGAATGCATGCTATTATCTTTATATATTCTTGGTCTTAGATTGCATGATACATATAATTTCCAAACTTACAAGACATCTAATTTTATTAGAGTATGGTAGACAAACTAAACAATCCATGTTGAATAGTCTAATTAATCTAGTATTTTTTGACAACACCCTTGTAATAATCAAATTGGTCACCCTTGTAATAATCAAATTTGTTTGCTTCTACTCCAGCAGACGCTCCTCCTTTTGGTCCTTAGTGGGTCCATAAGTCCGACAGCACACAAGAAAGTACACAAAATTGATTATACTCAAGACAGTAATCAGCCAGTAATAATCATCTAACCGACCCTTGTTAAGATTGCTAGACAACCAGCTCTCTTGCCCTCCTCTGGATGTAACTCTATCCACAAAATCCACCAAACCACTCCCTATCATGTCAGCCATGGCAGTTCCGAAAGTGAAAATAGCCACCGCAATGCTAGACATGCTTTTAGGGAACTGAGAGTAGTAGAATTCTATCTGTCCAATCGAATTAAAAGCTTCAGCCAATCCAAGCAGGATAATTGGTGGCAAAAGCCAGACTACTGACATGTTCACCACACCATCTGGTTGGTCTTCCAGTCCTTCCTCAATAGCAGTTCTCCTCCTTATGGTTTCTACTACTGCTGACATTGCCCTTG